AAAAAAAAAAAAAAAATTGACAGAATTAACAGCACTTTGCTTATTTTTTCCCTCTTTTCCTTCTGTTGATCTAATATTTAATTTAAAATTCTATTAATAGCACTATCTCCTCACCTCTTGCAGAATTTTCTATGCATATATTATAACCATACATTGCATACACTAACCTTCCTTGATACCTGCAGGTTACTTGAGAAGCTTCTACGAAGCCAAAACCTAACTAGTAACCATAAATACCGGAAAGATTAGCTCTGAGAATCAAATGCTGTAATCATTCCTCAACTACGGTGACTTAACATGGTAGTGTGCTGAAAGGAGCTAGACGACGTGTAACAGGTATTGCTACTTTCAATGTTAAAGAAACAAAATTTATATTTTTGTTAAAGAAACAAAATTTATAAATGATTTACTCAAAATAGAACAAATTAAAGATTATCCCTATACTTGTTCATTCTCATTTACTTTCATTTCCATAATTTTCTCAAGTGGGAGAAAAAGCAGTAGAGTTACAGTTGATAAATATTTAATGGTTGCGCTCTTTATAAATTATTTTTATTACCTATGGATTGTGATTTTTTTTTTCATTTTCTAACTTAACCTAAGGATGGAATAAAAAGGACGAATATCTTTGGATTTACAATACATGTGAAGAAGAATGTCAATATAAACTGTATTACAATTGTAGAACAGTATATGAACTAAAATTGCCAAACAGAAGGCAAAATAATGATTGTTGAATGAATAAGTTGAGTGGGGATCAGGATGAGGAAAATTTCTATATATCTGTCACAGTACAGCGTTACCATGACTAAATCTACCATAAGATGGTAATGTCTATGCTAAATTAACTAATTATTAAATTAGTTTTTAAATTATCCACACACTCTGTTCTCTTCCATCAGTATCAATTATGAGCTCATAGGATACTATTTTATATTACACAAAATGTTTTCACATAAATTATTTCACTGTAGTCTCCTAATATCCTAAAGAATTACGTGAGTGGGGCAGGGATTATTTACTGGAACTTTATTAAAAAAAAAAAAAAAAAATTGCAGACGAGACCAATTACTTACCCAAATCACAAAATTAGTAAGTGAAGGAGCAGGGATTTGAAGCTAAGTCCTCTGCTTCTAAATGTCATGCTTTTTCCATTGAGTTTCACTATAAAGAGAGGAGAGTCTTTTCAGAGGGCTGGCTTTGATAATTTTATTCTACATGTACTTTTAAAATTCCTGTCTGCTCTTAGGCTTTTGGTGTTGTGGATATCCCACTTCAGGTATCTTCGGACCTTCAGAATAAAATAAACCCATAAACACTTGTATAAGAGTATTCAAATATCCCAGTGCATTTTTTTTTTTTTTTAGTGAGACAGAATTTCACTCCCATTACCCAGGCTGGAGTGCAGTAGCACAATTACAGCTCACTGCGGCCTCAACTTCCTGGGTTAGGTAATTCTCCCACTTCAGCCTCCCAAGTAGCTGGGACTACAGGTGGCACCATCAAGCTTACCTATTTTTTTTTTTCCACTATTAGTAGAGATGGGGTTTCACCATGTTGTCCAGGCTGAGCTCAAGTGGATCTGCCCACCTCAGTCTCCCAAAGTGTTAGGATTACAGGCATGAGCCACAGTGCCCAGCCCTAGTGCTATGATATGATATTCACTTGCAAACATTATTGGCTCACCCACACCTAATGCAAACTTCCCTGATGTGTATATAATGTCATAGAAACATGAAAGGAACATTTATGACAGAAGTTCTTACAATCACGTCTTTTTTCTTCTACTAGCACTAAATTAAGCCTGCTAAAGTAACCAGAGATAATAATTCATTTTAAGATTTGGTCACTTAAATTCTAGCTTAAGTACTAGTGGCTCCTCTTTGAAATACGAGTAAACTCCAAACTTTAGGCAAGGTGCTGAATCTTCCATTATTGTTTCATATACATTAAGCCTTTGATATAATTTAATAACACATAAGAATTTATAAAAATATTTTTTAAATACCTAATGAAAACAAATGGAAAAAATGCCGTGTGAAAGTACACTATAATCTCACCAAGAGATAACTACTATGAACATTTTGGTGGATATTCTTGCAAAATTTCCTGGACATATATTATATAACTTTATATTGTATAAATATACACTTTCCTATTTTACAAAGATGGAATCATATAAGTGAAAAATGTTTTATAACTTTTTTCAGTTAACACTACATAGTGGACATCGTCCTAATACATAAAGAATAATCCTTGTAGCCTTTGCTCAAATTCACCTCCTCATAGAGATCTTCCCTAACCACGCTGTGTTGCTTATGCTCCTTTCCCGTTTGTTTTTTTTCTACAATGCTTAAAACCTTCTAAAATAGGCTGGCAAACATTTTCTGTAAAGGGCCAGATAATAAATATTTTAGGCTTTGCGGGCTTTAAGTTATCTCTTACAATTAGTTAACTCCGTTATTAAAGTGCAAAAGTGGCGGGCGCGTTGGCTCGTGTCTGTAATCCCAGCACTTTGGGAGGCTGAGATGGGTGGATCACAAGGTCAAGAGTTCAAGACCAGCCTGGCCAATAGGGTGAAACCCTGTCTCTACTAAAAATACAAAAAAATTAACTGGGCGTGCGGTGCATGCTTGTAATCCCAGCTACTTGGGAGGCTGAGGCAGGAGAATTGCTTGAACCCGGAAGGCAGAGGTTGCAGCAAGCCAAGATCGCACTATTGCACTCCAGCCTGGGCAACA